CGGGGCCGTCACCCTCACCTCTGTCTCTCCTCCGCCGCTCTCTCCCTTAATCTTCCAGCGCCGCCGCCCGGCCGCCCCGTCCCCATGGCAACCGTCGGCGTCCCGGTTGGACCCCAGAGCGCAGGCGCGGAGAGGGGAGGCGGGGAAACGTACACTTTGCATTTACATAGCGCCTACCACACCCTTCCAGGACTTTTTTAGATTCATCAAGGACCTTTCTGCAGCGTTGCAAAGAGAAACAAAGGTTCGCACTTGCATAACGCCTTCCAGTTCCCCAGGGTGTTCAACAGTCGAAAAGTGGAGTCACTGCTGCCTATATAATTCTCAAAAAAATGCATTTATGTAGCGCCTTTCTTTACCTCAGATTATTGTGAAGACGCGTCTTAGTCAGCTGTTATAATTTAGGGACGGGGGCTGACAACTTGACCATGTCAAGACCCCACAGACTGCACTGCAAAAATGACCTCTTTTTGTTTCAGTGATAATGGTCAGGGGGGTAATTAAGTGCAAGCCCGTCTTTCTTAGTCGCTCACCAAGGTTAACTAGATCTGGATATGTGATTATTTTTATTCATTCACGGGATGAGGGCGTCGCTGACCAGGCAGCATTTATTGCCCAGAGGGCAGCTCAAAGACAACCACATTGCAGTGGGTCTGGAGTCACATGTAGGCCAGACCAGGTAAGGATGGCAGTTTCCTTCCCTAAAGGGCATTAGTGAACAAGATGGGTTTTTTCTGACAATTGACAATGGATTCATGGTCGTCATTAGACTGTTAATTCCAGATATTTTTAATCAAATTCAAATTCAAATTCCACCATCTGTCCTGGCAGGATTCAAACCTGTCTCCCCAGAATATTACCTGGGTCTCTGGATTAACAGTCCAGTGATAATACCACTAGGCCATCACCTCCCCTTCTGGCTCTCCTTATTATAAGATCCTGAGATGAGATGAATCTGGCCCTTGGGTGTCTGCTGTGGTCAAGTTAGTGGCATCCTCGCCACAGACTCATACCATGGGATTAGACATCGGGAGTGTAACAAAGGCTGTCTGGATTAATTCTGGGGGTGAAGGATTGTCCTTTGAGAAGATATTGGTTAGACTAGATTTACTCCAAATCACAGTATATAAATTTGTCTGGCATATGAAACGATCCACTTTTTCTTGGCACCAGTATCCTACACTCAGCATGTAAACTTACCTTCAATTTTTGAGCTAATAAAGTCAGAAGTTACACGACACCAGGTTATAATCCAACAGATTTATTTAAAATCGCATGTTTTCAGAGCTGACCTCCACATCAGCTGATAAATGTATGTTTTAGTGGTATGCTTGCATTAGGAATAAGCCCCCAATTTTCAGTTCAGAGATGCACATTTTACTGTTATATTAGCCCAATAGGTCAGTGCAAGGGATCAAGCAGGTGGTACCGGCCATGATATCATAAAGACAAAGTTAAAACATGTCCATGCAGAGTGTACTGGACAGACTGAACAGATGTGGGTCCTACAACAGCAACACCCAACAGTTCACATTCCACATTCCATAATTGAGGTGTGAGTCCACCCCCATTTGTGGGGTGAGTTCAGTAAACTTTAAAAGACAACTTGTTTGGCGTAGTTTTGAGTATATTCGTTAGAATTTTGAAGAACTAGAGGGAATCTCATACAAAATTCTTATGGGACTTTACTAGAATAGATATTAGAATGTTATAGAGTCATAGATCTGTCCAGCACCGAACCAGACCCTTAGGTCCAACTCGTCCATGCTGACCAAATATCCTAAATTAATCTATACAAGGGTTCTGAGGAAGGGTCACCTGACCCGAAACGTTTTCTCCTTCACAAATGCTGCCAGACCTGCTGAGCTTTTCCAGCAGCTTTGTTTTTGTTCCTGATTTACAGCATCCACAGTTCTTTTGGTTTCTAAATTAATCTAGTCTGATTTGCCAGCATTTTCCCCATATCCTTCTAAACCCTTTCTATTCATGTACCAACCCAGATGCCTTTTAAATCTCGTAATTGTACCAGCCTCCACCACCTCCTCTGGCAGTTCAGTCCATACACACACCACCTTCTGTGTGAAAACATTTGCCCCTTAGGTACCTTTTAAATCTTTCCCCTCTCACCTTAAACCTACACACTCTAGTTTTGGGCTCCTCTACCCTGGGGCAAAGATCTTCACTATTCACCCAATCCATGCTCTATATGATTTTATAAACCTCTATAAGGTCACCCCCTCGCCTCCGAAACTACAGGGAAAATAGCCCCAGTTTATTCAGCCTCTCCCTATACCTCAAACCCTTTAACCCTGGCAATGTCCTCGTAAATCTTTTCTGAACCCTTTCAAGTTTCACAACATCTTTCCTATAGACGCCAGAACTGAACACAGTATTCTAAAAGTGGCCTAATCAATGTCCTGTACAGCTGCAACATGACTTCCCAACCCCTACACTCAATGCACTGACCAATAAAAGTAAGCTCATTAAATGCCTTCTTCTGTACCCTGTCTACCCGCGACTCCACCTTCAAGGAACTTTGAACCTGCACTCCAACAGGCAACACTCCCCAGCATCTTATCATTAAATGTATAAATCCTGCCCTGATTTGCCCTACCAAAATGTGGCACCTCACATTTATCTAGATTAACCTTCATCTGCCACTCCTTAGCCCATCGGCCCATTTGATCAAGGTCCCATCATACCCTGAGGTAACTTTGTTTCAACTGTTGGAGCAAGTGGTGTCATTACAGGGCCACACCTATCAGGGACAAAGCTGAGGCATAATGACCACTCAGAGGATTGTGAATCCACAGACTTCGCCTCAGAAGCCTAAGGATGCTGAAACATTTTGTATATTCAAGTTAGCGGGAAGGAAGGCATAGGGTGGTGTAGTGAGGGAAAGTCTAACTGAGATAGAGAACCAGCCTGTACTGGGACAATTTGGGATAGGGAATAAATGCTCAAATTTCCGATGATCTCAATTTCTAATTAGATGCAAATGTTTTTCTGCATCAAGGAACACGTACAAAAATCATGCATATATCTCTTTCATAGTTTGTCTTTTTGAACAGGTCACTAGCATGAAGCTGGAGGCAGCAACCTAATGGGTGAAAACGTCCCCCTCAGACCCATAGTCTCCCTATGAGGCACTCCATCGCACAGATTAGCCAAGGAACTACAAAGGAGACTCAGGCACCTAGTCAACAAGTCACCCTACTCTATCCACTCAGCCCAAGAATTCCTCAACTCCGTCAAAGACATAAAGATAGATGACAAAGAGACCACGATATCATAGAATCCCTACAGTGTGGAAAAAGGCCCTTCGGCCCAACAAGTCCACACTGAACCTCAGAGCATCCCAGCCAGACCCATCCCCCTATAACCCACCTAATCTACACCTCCCTGAACAATACGGGCAATTTAGCATGGCCAATCCACCTAACTTGCACATCTTTGGACTGTGGGAGGAAACCAGAGCACCCAGAGGAAACCCACGCAGACATGGGGAGAATGTGCAAACTCCACACAGACAGTCGCCCGAGGGCTGGAATCAAACCCGGTCCCTGGTACTGTGAGGCAGCAGTGCTAACCACTGTGCCACCGTGCCGCCCCATCGTTTGATGTCACTGCCCTATTCACATCAATAGACATACCACTACCAAGGGAAACAATGACAACACTACTGGAACAAGAGCAAGACCCCAGTGAAACAATCTACAAGGACAACATGCTCAAACTATTGGACCTATGCCTCACCACCTACTTCACTTTCAATGGCCAAACATACGAGCAAATCAACGGGACACCCATGGGATCACCTATCTCCAGACTCGTAGCAGAAGCAGTGATGCAAAGACTAGAAAGGGCTGGCCTTCCGCAAATCCAATCAAAACTATGGATACGCTACGTAGACGACACCTTTGTCATCATTAAATGGACCAAATTAGAGGAGACACGCAAACTTATAAAACAGCCTCACCGGAATAAAATTCACCAGAGAGGAGGAGAAGAACAAACAGCTCCTATTCCTGGATGTCATGGTACAGCACAAGACAAATGGGGAACTGCAAACGAAAGTACACCGAAAACCACACACACTGACCAGGTACTGAACTTCAACAGTAACCATCCCAGCGCACACAAACGAAGCTGCGTGCAAACACTATTTAAAAGGGCAACGACACACTGCAGCAACACGGAACTACGCTAAGAAGAAGAAGAATACCTCTTCCAGGTTTTCAAGGATAATGGATATCCAAAGAACTGGGTCAGAAGATACCTACACGAAGAACATCAGAAAGATACTACACACCCCAATACACTCATCACACTACCCTACATCAGGAACACATCGGAACTCACCACAAGACTCCTTTGACCGCTGGGCATCAGAGTGGCACACAAGCCTATGTCAACCCTATGACAATGTTCACTCGAACTAAAGGCCCACTCCCCGCCATGGACAGGACCAATGTCATCTACAAGATCCCCTGCAGAGACTGCGAGAAACACTACATCGGACAAACAGGAAGGAAACTAACAACAAGAGTACATGAACACCAACTGGCTACAAAAAGACACAACCAATACTCACTCATCTCAATCCACATGGACAAGGAGAACCACGACTTCGACTGGGATAACACCAAGATCCTGGGAAGGCCAGGCAGAAACAAGCACGAGAATTCCTAGAAGCCTGGCACTCCACGAAGCATGCTATTAATAAGCATATTGAACTCGACCCCATATACATTCCACTACGAAGGAAACCCGGAAGTGAGGCAATCCATCTCAACGGACCCCAGAGTTTAAAAACCAGGCGGGTAAACACACCAACGCTCCATCGGAGGCTGCACTGAGGATATTACCCAGCGTGCTAGCGAAATGTCTGCGAAACAAGAAACCGGCTCGGCGAGCCAACCAACCTCAACAGCCCTATTTTCGTATTCAATTAGGTACTTCTTAGTGCAACTAGTGTTGCTGGTAATGAAAAATGGTCCCCAATTTTGTTTATTAATAGATGGGATACGGGTGTCACTGGCTGGGCCAGCATTTATTGCTCAGTCTCAGTTGCTCTTGA